GGACAATGAGTGATGGCAAGAGGAAGGAAGGCAGCCATTCCTAAAGAGAGAAAACTTATTCCTACAGGTAAAAGGCCAGATTAAAGCAGTGACTTTCCCAGGAGGAAAATGCATCTGGTAGAGAGAGAAAGAGAAGAAATATTTTTGTTTAATTTTTGGTAGGTCCCATTATTGATTGAATTCTTACATAGACCGGTTGGTGGGTCTATTTTCCAAGACATGATAAAACTACGAGGACAACCCTATCTTCCTTTGGTCACGCGCATGGCTTACTTTATCGTCATGTCTTCGTCATGCTCTTCTGACAAATTATTATTATTTTTTTTATATTTTGATTAAATTTTCAGTAGAGGGTGTTAATTCGGGTCAACGGGTTGGGTTCGAATCGAATCCGGAACTGACATGGCACTATTCGGATCAACCCGACCCGACACGAATGACCCAAAGTGGACCTAAAATTGCTAATTTTTGGGTCAAAAATAGGTTCAATCTTCGATTTTCTGGTCAAAATCGGGTCAATCTCGAATTTTCGAATCAAATAGGAGTTTTCGTGTCAATTTTGGGTTGCTGGGTCAACCGAACCCGATCCGATTTTTAAAATGGGTTGATTTGTTGAACCCGAACCCGACCCGTTTCGAGTTCGAGTTGACCCTAACTCGAATTATTTCGGGTCGGATTCGGGTCATGTTTCAGGTCGTGTCCAAAATTGACACCCCTAAATTTTTCAGCTGTTAATAATAATTTTAATGTTAGAAAACTAATTTAATATTTTTTGTTAATGAAATTAGTTGACAGTTACCTTCTCTATTGGTCTTCTACTTAAATGCAAATAAAAACTTTGAAGAAAATATGGTTAGCCCAAACGATAAATCATCTTCGAGCTTAGCTCACTAATCATTTATTAAATAATCCCATGCAATTACACCATTAACTAATTAAAAATCATTTATTAAACAAATAATCAAGTAATTCAATAATTATATATGTTCATTAAAAACATTTAAATATAATAAATTTATGTGAATATATATGCATCATATCATATGGTCCACACTTTCACCCATCAAATTTGACTTTAAATGACTTCATTTCTACTACAAAAGTATTTAAAAATGTCAAAATCAATTGGCTGAATAGAACCATTTGCAAAGGCGTGGCAGTATACAATACACAAATATATTATAAACAACTAAGAACTTTCTCTAAATCAAATACTACCACGTCGCCATGTCGCCAGCCTTCTCAGTTCTTCCTGCAGCATTAAATAATGGTATTATTATTGTTAATTAGTTTACATAATCCTCTGTACGACGAACTGTTGTTAGTCTTAATCAGCCTAATTAGCGTAAAATGGAGTAATTAAAAAACTGTTAGATTCTAATAGCTTTCTGCATCATGGCTTTGATAGAAAGGCACCTTTCTCATCACATGCTTCTATTGTGTTCATATTATGATGGGCAGACAGGAGATCTTTCTCTTATTCGGTTCAATTAATCAAGCTTCAAGCAAGATCTTACCTGCAGAACTGGATTCAAAAGTATCTTCTTTAATTATATTTTTAAGTGAATGATTAGCTAGTGCTGGGGATGTAATTAGTTTAATTTCTCTCAGGTAGGATATAATTAACAAACTAAATTTTAATTATCTGCATTTGATTATGTTGGGCTCGATAATTAGATTGAATTTATTTAATTTGTTCAGTACTTAACAAACATTATTTGATTTGCTATGTTAATAGATGATTAGCTCTATGGAATGGATGAGTTATTTTGTATTGTTGCAAATAACCATTTTTTTAATTTATGTCTTTATTAAGATAATATTAAATAAATAAAAAGCTATAGCAAAATAATGGTTTAAAATATTAAAAAATATATTCATAAAAGATAATAGAAAAATCTTATTTTATGTATTAATATAAATGAAATTACTAAAATTTTCAAGCCAAATGAATAATAATAATAATAAGGGATGATAAATGCAAAAATTAAGTATGACATAATAATACCCTAAACCCTAATTGCTCCTTAAAGAAATCATTTCTCCCTGATTTTAACTACAACCATTAATTGCACAAGTACAACACCCTCATCTTCTTTATTTAGGCTTTGTTTAGAATAACTTTTCGACTATTTTTCCAGTAAAAAAAATAATTAGTAAAAAATAATGTGTTTGGAAGTTAGCTTTTTCACCGCTATTGAAAAATTTTCTTTTATAAAGTTGTTTTTGTAAAAACATTTTTCAAACTCTAACTGATAAAGGAGCTTTAATTTTAAAAGAAAAAAATAGAAAATCGGTAAAATAAAGCTTTAGATTTCGTTTGGGACAACTTTTTTGTTGCTTTTTAAAACAATTTTTTAGTATAAAAAAATAATTTTTTACTAAAAAAGTGCTTTGAGAACCGAAAAAAGCCGTTCTTAGGCTTCGTTTGAAATTGTTTTCTAAAGCAATTTTTAGTATAAAAATTTATTTAAAATGATGAAAAATAGTGGCCAAACGCTATCCCAAATGGAGCCTTAGTTATAAGAGTTTAAATATAAGTATAATTTTTAAATAATTCATAAAAATTAAATGGACAATTTTTATTTAATTATCATAAAATAAATCAATTTAAAGATTATATAGTTTTATTAGGATAATATTTTTTTAAAGAGGTTGCATCTACCACTATCTACCCAAGTGGAAGCCTAATGATCTTTTGGAGTTCCATGATGAGACAGCTTTCTTAACCTCTCACAAATGAGATTCCTCGTTTTTCATGCACTTGACTTCTTTCTACTTGTAAAGGTCACTAATCACTTTCATATTATCAGTTAATCTTTTCATTTTTCGAAGCTAACACTTTAACTAATCACTTTGATATTTTCTTAGGGCAGCTTAAGCTTTTTTATTTTAGCCTCAATTTTAAAAATATTTTTTTCAAAAATACCTCTGTACAAATAGAAATTTAAAATAACGGTGAAAAAACTGTCTTCAAAATACATATTATTTTTTATTTACTATTTTTCTTGAAACAAAACAAAAAATTTAATTTTTCATGCATGATTATATATCAAATATGTTCTATAACTAAACCATGCGATGTCTACCAAAGCCTAAGTTTATATATATATATTAATAATCATAATTAAGCATCTTAATCACATAGTTTATTCATTTCCTCTTCATGTTATTAACAAACTTCCATTCTCCTTAATCAAATCTGTCGGCCATGCACTAATTAATTAAGATTATTACCATAATTAATACAACTATTTCCTCAACTGTCGACCTCTTGTTTCCATGTGCTTATTATTTTCTGAATGATAATCTAAATTAAGCAAAGCTAAGACTGAAGTTCAGCATATTGGCTTCCATATTTAATGATTCTTCTTGTTTTGGCCGTTCATGCTTCCAAATTTTAGGGTTTGAGGGATCTATGTATCTTCTTCTTGTTGTGATGATGATAAATATATGGAAGGATATAATGCCTAACCAAATAGATATTTAAGGAGCAGAACTCACCAAATTAGAGAAGAAAACAGCGAAGAGATCTGAACCATAAATATGGGAGTCTGAATAGTTAAAGCAGATGGGACATGGGAGTTTCTACCATGTCTTGTCTTTCCTTCTTTGCATGTTTCAGAGCCATAAAAGCATACAAAACATATAAATTTTCTTGCGTTGGTGTATATATTTCTTACTTTTATTGTTATCTTCGCCTGTAGTGACCATGCAACTGAGCCCACCTCATTAAAACCTTCCAGTAAGTGCTGAGAGAGAGAGAGAGAGAGAGAAGAGAATGGAGAAGAGCTGGAATGAAAGAGAAAGGTGAGGAAGAAAAGTGAAGGGGAGTAGATTCCTTCTTTGTTTTGTGGAGAGAAAGTAATAGAATACAGCAGAGTGGCTGGGGAGATATGGGGCCCAAAGACTGGGCTTTGAGGTTCACACACAACTCCTCTCATTTTCAACATGAGGTTTCTAGAGTAACGTGAATGATTCAGACTTTAGCTTTTCATTATTATTATTAATATTTTATTTTATTTTTTTAGGGACTTTTGATCTTTATGATGAGAGTCAAATTTTTACGCATTCTTTAGCTAATTCAGCTACACTTTCTGTTGTTTGATTTGATGTTAGTTTAGCAGAAATTCACTCTACCCAGCTTGATTTTTGTGTCAAACCATATAATAATTTATTTGATTTCTTTCAAAAAAAAATCAACTTTCATTCATTAAATATTCTAAAATCTATATATATACTACAAATACATACATACATAAATATACATAGGTGTGTGCATATAATATATCTACAGATAAATTTAGGCTTCATTTGAGATGAATTTCTTATTGCTTAAAAAAACAACCATCTAGTACAAAAACTAAAGAAACTGTTTTTTAAAAGTAATAAGAAAGCCAACCCAAACGAAGCCTTATTCATTCAAATATTCATACTTTGCTTCATCTTTGAGCTCTCATTAACAAATATGACGATTCGAGTCAAGCTCCATTTGGAATTGCTTTTTCAGTAATTTTTTTTTTTTTAAGAAGCAGAAGGAAAGTCATCCAAAATAAAGCCTTAGATTTCATTTGTGACAGCTTTCTTATTGCTTCTTAAAATTACTTTCTACTACAAAAAGTTTAATTTTTATACTAAAAAACTATTTTAAAAAATAATAAGAAAGTCATCCCAAATCAAACATTAATCACTCAACTTTGAACTTTTCGTAACTTCTACGCATTAGAGTTTGGTTCACATAACCATTATGTATCACCTCAGGTTTTGACTCACATTGAAATTTGATCGAGGCAAACGACTAGATCAGCCATAAGCCAATTTTAGCTTTGCTTGGTCTGTTAGGTGATTTGAGAAGCCATTGTAGCTCACATCTATTTAAACTATAAAGATAGATACTTAGAAAATAACCAAATGCATACACATAAATCTCTTCATAAGTTCTGAGTTCTCATCATGAGTAATTTTGAAGGAGAAAGGTAACTCAACAGTAGATTCCATCATTGTTCAATCAGGAAAAAAAGAAGAAAAAAAAAAAATACAGTAGCTACAGGCATGGCCTTGGAGATACAGAGTCCAAAGCCTGAGCTGTGCGGGCCACGCCCATATCTTCTCCCACTCCTCCTTACCCTTTTCAACCTGATGTTTCCTGAGACCTCACTCTGTGATATCTCATACCCACCCGATCGCACCAGACATGGCCGTACACTCGAATTCCTCAAAATAAAAATAAAATTAAAAATAAAAAGGTCCACTGCAGATTGCCCGGAAAACCAGGGATCTTTCTCTCTCTCTCTTTCTCTCTCTCTCTCTCTTTCTTCCTTTCCCACACTCTTTCTCTGCGTCCTTTCAATTTCTTCTCAATCTTTCTCACTAGTTCCCTCACAAGTCAATCAAAGCGTCACTTGTAGGAGGAGGGGATTGGTTGGTGGGATTCTCGGAACATGGCTTCTGATTTTCCTCCACCCATTTTGGAATTCCTGTAACAATTCACATTGATAGCTCCTGTAAGTTTACTGTTTCTTGTACTGGGAAGATCGGAGAGCAGAAGGGGAAAAAAAGCACAGATTTTTATGCAATAATGAGTTAAAAATTTCACCTTTACTATAGCTGGTGGCCGGAGGCTTTCCTGCTCATCACCTGAGAACCAGTAATCAAATGCCCACATTCTAAATTCACTCCAAAGAGCCTCAGCTTCTTCGAATTCCCCGTGCTTGCTTCTGTCGCCTCTGAACTCTGCTCTTCTGCTCAAAACAAAAAACAGATAAAAAAAATTAAAAAATTTTATATCTTCGCAACTGAACATAAAGAAAAATTGTTAATCTTTGGCTAGCTGAGTAATTAATAATGGCCGAATCCTACCCTGAGGAATTGAGTTGAGATACAAGTAAGAAGAGGAAGGCAAGCTTGCACTTTGACAGAAAGCTGGGTTCCAGTGCATCGCCGGCGGCTGCGGCGCTGAGCCCGCCGTAATGGAATCCTGTCCAGTTCCTCTACGCCGGCTGCCGACAAAGAGGCGGTCACCATTACCCCGGCGGCGGAGGAAAATAACAACATCACCTGCATCAAGCTGCTTCTCTTTCACAAACCTGCTCCATCCTTTAGTCAGCACATAGCTCTGACTACTCGTCCAGTAAGAGTAACGAAACCTCCATATTTTCCCGTTCTCATCCTCAAAGCTCAGTAAAAGACCCTTCTCCCCCGCCTCTGCATCCAGCGGAAAATACTTCTCTGCATACTGCTTCGGAATCACAAGCCTGTTCAGCTTCCCAACATCGCTCGGCGTTAATGGCTTCTCAAACATAGGTTCTTTCTCACAGTTCATTCCTTCTCCAAGCTGCTGGCTTTGATGGCGATGGTAGGTTTCCATGGTCGTGTCCCAAATCCAAGCTTGTTGAGTTGGATAAACGAAGTGGTTTGCAGGCATAGTAGAAGTAGGAGGAGGAAGAAGAAGAAAGACAAGAGTCTCCGTGCAGAGCTCCAGAAGCTGTGTTGAGCAACTACCAGATATTGCTGCCCTGCATTTATAACAATTCAAGTGCAAAAGAAGTATTTTTTTCATGAAAATTTTATCAGAGAGAGAGAGAGAGAGAGAGAAAGAGAGAGATTAGTAGGTGAGATTCATTGATCTGAAAAGATGAGGTGGGATTAAAGGGTTTTTTAAACTGGCGAAGAGGGGGAGAGAGGACAAGAAGAATCAAAGGGTTTAAAGATCGTAGGGTTGGTGTACATATATGCTGTGTAATTATTCTATGGTTGTTAGCGGGGAATGATGATCAGGTGGAGGGAGTGGAAAAAGTCAGTTCTGGAAAATGAGACTGAATCATGGCCGTCCATTTGAACTTTTTTCATTATTGATTAATTAACATCATCATCTCCATGTGAGTTTGTTGCTCCCAACACAGACATTTAATTGCACAGAGGGCTTTCCTGAAAAATATAATATCTGAAATTAATTAAATTTATGTTTCATTTAACATAATTTTCTTACTCCTTACTCCTTTATATAGTATTTTTTTAATATGAAAAATAAATTTTTACAATTAAAAAATTTAAAATTTAAAATAAACTGTTTCATTGCACAGAGGGCTTTCCTTACTCCTTTATATGAACTGAAATTTGCTTGATGGAGTTGAAGAAGTTGCATTAATTTTCAGGATAGAACTGAAAGATTTCATCCCTGTTGAAAAGAAACAATGATTATGAAGGAATTTGAAAAAAAAAGCTATTAGAACTTGTAATAATTGTTATGTAAATCTTTCCGTATCAAATTTAGCATTGATTGGGAAAGATTTTATTTGCTGATTAATGCATAAATTAGGATATTTGATTAATACTTTGATTATAAATATATTTTTAGGGTAGTTTGACAATGGGTGGATTTATTTGGACCAAATCAGCCAACCAAACCGACTTCATCTCTATCGTTATATGTAATTTCTAGCTTTCTTCAATAATTTCCTTCAAAGGGATTCTTGAGATAGCCTTACTCTATAAATAGGGGTTGTCTCCTCCCTTGTAGGTAGATTTTGAGATGATAAGAATTGTTTCTTTTAGTTTATTTTGAGCTCTGTATTCTAAAGAAATTCAGGTGGTGTTACCTGGCCTTGTTCGATGTCACTGTTGTAAGAGTGTAAGAGAGCAAATTGTAATCATATTTCTGCACAATATTGAATTCATCCTCTCCCCGTGGACGTAGTCAATTCTTTGCCAAATCACGTAAATCATATCGTGCTCATTAGGTTTGGTTGTGTGATTAGTGTTATTTTCCGTTGATTTGCACAACAATAGTCACATGCTAAAAACTTGTGCTTATAGAATGTGCATTTGTTTTTTTTTATATTGTACAAAGATCTTATATGTATCGATAGAAGTTGTATGAACTAAATTTATTCATATGAGAAATCTAAGAAAAGAAAATTCACGGGGTATGTTAATAATCCACTATATAGTTAGAGGTATAAGAATATGAATATTCACAATTAAAGATGAGATTGCACAATTGAAAATAATTATTTGAGTAATTCCCTTTATATGAACTATAGAATTTAGGCGTTAGCATGCCAAAGATGGACATTGATATGGTGATCGTTAAAAACTATAGTGACAGTGATTGCTAATGGTGGTTACTAATGATGATTGTTAGAAATCACAATAGAGTTTTTTAAGCTCTCTCTCAACATCTCCTATATGTAGAATGATGCTCTATTTTTTTTAACTTTTTTAAGAATAAAAAACACTCAATTGAACACTTCATATTGAACTTCTTGATCATAAATCATAAATCATTTATGGGTGTCAATATTAATCTCCTTGATCATAAATATCTCACTTGGCTTAACCCTAATTAGTCAAAACCAAATGAGTTGGAAATGATTTATCATAAAAAAAAAAAGAGGAGGAAATGATTTATCATAGTTTCGATGTTTAGATAGGCAAGAATAATTATAACAAGTTTTGTTTTAGCCATTTATAAATATGATGATATACTATATCTTGAATCAGGTTTCGTTGGGACGGCTTTCTTACTATTTTGTAAAACTATTTTTTAGTACAAAAAATTATGAAAAACAGGAAAAAGGTCATCCTTACTGATTTTTAAAATAGCTTCTTAGCACAAAAGTTTAAATTTTTATACTAGGAAGCCGCTTCAAGAAGCAGTAAAAAAGTCGTCCCAAATGAAGCCTTAGTGTCAAAAACAAATTTTATATGAATAAGAGGTCAAAAATGAATTTACTATTTTGTTTGTTGTACTTATAAGAGAACATTTAGCATCATTACATAAGAAAATATAGCCCTTTTAAACTAATCCTCTACGCTTTAGCTTCTACCTGATTCAATGTCGCACGAGATAAACTATTGCTGCTGATGTGAACAAAGCTGTAAAGGGCAACACATGCTATTTTTTTAATGGTTTTTAATGAAAAGTAGGTGCCAGGACCTTCTCAATTAAAGCTTAGAATAGTAGATAAGTATAAATGTGCTATAAATATATATATATATATATGTTGCATGTTTTTACAACTAATGGATGATCCATAAATTCATCTGATCCTCTTGGAATTTTTAGATGATAAAAGGTTTAGATATTTTGAATTTTAAAAAAATTTGATATGATTTTTTAAATCAGGTGAATTTTAGTGAATTTGTAATCGAGTTGACGCAGTTTAAAGAGATGAAAGTAGTAGTAGTAGGGAGAATACTTCGTTTTGAATCCAAATCGGTTTAAATTAAGTGCTTAAAAGCATAATGAGAAGTTTCTTAATACGGGTGCCAATAAATGATCAGACCTGCTGTTCCAACAAAAATAAATAGGTTTGATCAATTGATCCATTTAATAAACGGGTCAGATTCGAGTTTACATGCATATCCATTTTTTACCAAAAAAATGATTTGTTTAATATTTTTTCCTAGATTTTTATTTTATTTTATTTTTGGGTATAATTTTCTTAATTTTTATTAAATATCTTAAATTTTATACTTAATAAACTACAAACAATTTCAAGTTAGAAAAGATTTTTTTAACCAAATTGAGTTAAAGAGTTGGATTCAAGTTATTTGGGTTGTTAGAGGTTCGAGTTCGGGTTGGTTTTTTGACCCGTTTATTGTATTGAATATGTAGGGCTTGAAAAGATTGGATTCATGTAGGTCAATTTTAGGTCAGACCTGATCCCGACCCATCTACCCGTTTTGACACCCTTACTTCTCAAGATCATTTAGAGGGACAAGTATTCTCCAAAATTGAAGTGTTTATAGTCGGAACAAAGTATCTTGAAGAGGCGAATCTAAATTGGCATGCCTAAAATATCTCTATTATGAGCTCATTAAGATACTAAAATATACAAAATATAATAAAGGATGAAGAAGAGGGTTTCAACCATCCAATGAAAAGTTCCAAATTTGTAATAGAAATAATTGAAACACTTCTCTAAGAATTTATGAATAAGTCTTAAAATTTTTAATGCACAAAATTCCCAAATTTAGATATTTATAAAGTTTGAACACTTTTTGGAAACCCAATCAGCCATATTTGAATTTTGCTTGGTCGAACTTATCCTTCTTCTCCCTTGGTTTTTACGTAGTTCAATATTTCCTTTATTTAGGACGACAATTGTGTCAAAATCCTTCAAACAATAACTTTTAATGTTAGCATCACCCACCATTATTGATCGACACTAAAAATCATTGTTGCCTAGTCTATTGTTGCCTACTATCAATTGATATCAACATTCATCGTCACTTATCATCTATTGCATGTTATTGATTGATGTTGGCAATCACCATTGCCTAACCAATGTCACTCATTTTTGACATATACAAGTCTCATTTTTCATCCTTTGATGCCCATCATCAATCAATTTTGATGACTCCATTGTCCATCCAACATAACTAGCTATTGTCTAACACCAATAATAAATGTATTCCATCCTCTAATGCTTTTTGTTAAATAGTGTTGCAACCATCATCACCCATTATCTGATTCGTGTTATCGCTCATTCTCTAAAATAGTCGCCCTCCACCATTGTCAACCAATATTGACATTTGTCATTTCCTGGTAACGTACCATCCCCTCTATCACCTTTCAATAATCTCCACAACTATTCTCAGAGACATCTCTTATTGTTCAAGTATTACAATCATTCAATCATGGAGAAGGGCTAACCCTTATTACCTTCAACAACTATAATGGAATTATTTAAATTAGGATATCTATTTTTTGGATTTTCTATTAAAAAATATTTTGTCTCATATGATTGCTAAAATTATTAGAACACTCTTTAGAGAATATCAACATCTAGGGATGTATGGATGTATGTATAGAAAAAAATCAACTAATTTTGAGGAATGTAAGAAAATATATATTATTTTCAATTTCATCTAAATTTTAGAATTTATTCTCCATAAATAATATTATTTTGGCATAAAAATTCAAAGATAAATCTTGCATTGTGAATATCATATGCATAAAATTTTAAAATCTTACCACTCATAGTTTAACCACAAAATATTGTTGAATCCAAAACATAATAATTAATAAATTTTTTTCAGAGACCAACATGACAAAATTTTGAGCCAATTTTTTTGGGCAAAGCACATATGTATATTGAATAATCTAGAGCAAAAAAATATACAAAATTAGAAGAAAATGACAAAAGATTCACCAAAAATCATTCAAAATTACCCAAAAAAAAGGATATTAAGGTAACCACATGTAAATTTGAAGGAACCTTCATTTATTATTTTATTTTGAACCACACTATTATTGGTCGTCGTGACATCAATCTCCATCACCCACTTATTACAGGTCGACTTTGGGGTCACTTAATTTCCATGTACCTTTTTTTAGAAGGAAAAAAAGGGAGAATTGATGAGAGAGTGATGAATTTTGATCTTCAGTCATAGTTATGCTTATTGTAAGATAACTTTTTTTCATACTCTTTTAACAAAAAAAAAATCTGAGCATCAGGATGAAAATTGTGATCAATCTGCCTGATTTTGATTCATGTGCACAACCATGCAAGTTAACCAAAATTTTGGAGGAAGACTGATCCTCGAAGCAAAAATTATATATGATCTGTCATAGCCCACCCTCCTATGTCAACTTTCAGTTGATGTTAACGATTGTTGCCACACATTTATCATTGCCCAACATCTACCATCACGAACAACTATAATCATTACCAGTCTTGCGATACTCCTC